GGAGGCGGGGAGGTGGGCGGGCGGGCTGCGGCCGTGCTGGCTGCTCCTCGCTCCGACCCTGCCGAGTCGTCCTTCGCAGCCTGCCGTGGTGCTCGGTCGCTTGCTCAGCTCCCGGAGTCACAGCTTCGGTTCGACTCCGAAGAGTCTGCTGGCCCGGCCCGTGCGGGGTTCCCAAGTTGGCGATCACGCTCCAGGGGCCGAGCGGAGCCCCGGCGGCTGCTAGCCCGCGTGCAGGGATTCTCTGGAAGGGCAGCCGCTAGAACTGGGTTTGCTCCTCTGTGCTTTTATTTTGGGAAACCTCGCCTGGTCCCTGTGGGGGAGGGCGAGGGACGTGAGACGCTGAAACTGACCCAGAAGCGGCGACTGCAGTGTGTTAAGTGGTGGCACCTCCGACCCTGAACTTTCTAAAAGGGCGATTAGTGATTAATTGCTAAGGTTTGAATTTTCTCAAAAGAAAGTCCTGGTCGGTCTTCTATCCTGTCACAAGGGAGGAGGGGAAACCTGCACTTTGGAGCCAATTGCTTTGCTTTTAAAGCAAGATCAATCCAATAGCCGCAATGTTTCCGTTCTGAACGGCAACTGCTCCTTATTCTCGCCCCCGCCCCCACGCGGTCCGAGTATTTATGAGCACGCTGGGATGAGGGTGACTCGGCGGGCCCATCCCAGCCTCTCCTGCTCACCCTGACTCCTCAGGTCAGAATGAGTATTATGCAGGACTAGTCCTACTGGAACTCAGAGACGCTGCTCCCGAGGAGGTGAGAGATGGAGGGAGGCGGTGTAGACGCCTCACCGCTTTGCTCACAGAGATTACCACATAAAGTGCAGGCCCCATCCAATTTAAAAAGTCACAACGTATTTTATTAAAATGGAGACTAAATTTCCCTTTTACTCAAAGACATTGAAATAGCGAGACTGTAAGAAGGAAATAGCTTTCTAATATAGAACGGCTTGAATAATAACTCAGGGGTTTTGAAATGGGTCATCTTTTAAAATGGGTCACTTTGGCTGGAATCATTGCACTTGGTGACTTTCACACTGTAAAGGGTAAGGTTCTCTTCAGGCCCAGTGGCGCAGAGGGTGCGTTTTAGAACACAGGATGTGGTGGAAAGGAACTGAGAGAAGTTCAGAAGGGAGGAGTCTCTTCTCAAAGTGACAACATACACCTTAATTTCAAGAATACTACATATCCTGGATGAGTAGGTTTACAGTTTGCATGTTATGGTAGATCACACCTTGCTGGGGCTGTTTCCTTAGTGAGTCTTGATCCCCACGTTGGGATAATCCCGGGAGGAGATGAGCTCACTGCCATCCATCCAGAAGCTGAGGCACAGCAAGTTACAAGTGCCCAGCCATCTGGCCCAACCTGTCAGCACGGTGTAGACCCAGAATTAAGTCTGCAACAGCTAGCAGTTGTATCAGTTTCTGTAATGATTACGTATTAGCTTACATGCACACTGCAGGCCATCCGGTGGCGTGGTGGTTGAGGAAGGCGGGTCCCACAGGGACAGCTCTGCAGTTCCAGTCCTAGACCAGGTGGCCTGGAAACCCCAGCAGGCTCAGGTGGTGTGCACGGGGAGAGTGAAGGAGCGGAAGTGGGGGTTACGCATGGCCATCTCTGTTGGGGTGGCCTTCCCACTTTCCCTCTCTGTCTCTTTCTGGCAAATGCAGCTAGATTTAAAAAGAAGAAGAAGAAATTAAGAATTATGAAAAAGAGAATCTTTATATTTAGAGACAAGAAACTCGATCAGGTAGATGCAACTTTTGAATAAACAAAGGCTTTTCTTGCTGTTTGATTTTTTTTTTTTCTTTAACATTTTACGGTGAAAGAGGAACTCTCCTACATTGTTTGTGGGAGTGTAAATTGGTCCAGCCACTGTGGGGAACAGTATGGAGGTTCCTCGAAGACCCAGCAATCCCACTCCTGGGTTTCTACCCAAAGGACAGGAGAACGCTTGGTTGGATAAGCGCTTGCACCTCAGTGTTTACTGCAGCATTATTCACGATCGCTAAGACATGGAACCACCCCAGATGTCCACAAACAGATGAATGAGTGGAAAAAGCGTGGCACATATACTCTATGGAATACCACTCAGCCATACAAAACAAGACCCTGGCATTTGATAGAAAGTGGTTGAATATGGAAGACTTATTGCTGAGTGAAACAAGCCAAGCTATGAAAGAAAGATATTGTATGTATCCATGTAATATATACTGACTAGCTGCACTCTATGGTAGAGACTGAAATACCTGAGGTCACAAAAGCAGTGAAAATAGTTACGGATGCTGAAGACAGTGTGGAACTGGGGGGAGAAGGGAAGAGTATAGAGGAGAGCAAGAGAACAAATAGAGAGGCAGGACGTTAGTGGGACACAGATGCGGTTTATTACCTGTTGATGATGACGTGTATAGTATTCTCAACTGGACTGGTCTGAGAAGTATTTCATGTTGTGTAAATTCTCTTTACAAGCCAAGTGATGTATAGTGATTTAATATTTTAAAAAAAATAATGAGAATAAAAAAATAACAATAATTTTAAAAAAATTTAATGCTACAAATTCATGGCTGGCCTTGGTCTGTAGCATGGTAAGATTTATCTGTAGTGAAGGGTTTAACACTAAAAGACACTTTTCTGCAGAAGAAAATGACCTCTCAAGTGGGCAGGCAACAAAACCCCCAAAGTTCATGTTTAAAATACAACAGTGTTGGAACCGGCAGGTGGCATGGTGGTTAGGTGCTGGACTCCCACAATGCTGACCACAGTTCAAGTCCTGGCCATGGCAGCTTTCTTTCCCACTTTCCCTCTCTCTCTGGTCAAAGTTAAATAAATAAATAATTTTAAAATAAAATAAAATATTGTAATGTAGCCTCAGATGCAACTAAAGTTTTATTTTTTAGGTTTTTGCCATAGGGCGTGTGTGTTCTCCAGAGAGAGAGACAGTGAGAGGGAAAGCGAGAAGCCCCCCACCCCACGTGGATGACCACACTGCAGTCCACTTCCACTCTCCTACAGGAATTGTGGGCATGCGTGTACTTCAGCAGGCATGGTTTCAGGCTGCAGTGTCAAGACTTGCACAGCGATCGGCCACTTGGGAATCCAGCACCTTAACCATGACGCCACCTACTGGCACGCCCTCTTTATCTTTTCAGTTTTTTAGTGTTTTTTTTTTGGGGGGGGGTAAAGAATTTTGCTGTAGGGCACGTGTGCTTGCTGGAAATAGAGACAGAGAGACAGAAAGTAAGAAATCACCCCCTGGGGGGGAGGGCCACGTTGCAGTCCCTTCCCCATTCTTCTCTCGGGATTTTGGGCATGCACGCACATGCACTAGGCATGAATTTCAAGCCACCAGGTCCGGGACTTAAACTGCGGTTGGTCATGTGGGAGTCCAATGACATAACCATTATGCTATCTGACGGTTCTGTTTTAAATTTTTGTTTGTTTGTTTTAGTTTTTAAAAATAAGCTTATTTTTTCCACGAAAGAGAAAGAGAGAGACAGCCCAGCAATGTCCTCCCCCTCCCCCCCCAGCCTCAGTTGATGCCTGGCACGTGCACTCGGGCGCAGACCTGGGGCCTGCACGTTCTGGTCAGTTATGCTACTCCATGCCACTGTCTGGTCTGGGCCTGGAAATCCATTTCAGATGCTTATGGGAAGCATAATATTCTCATAATATTCTCTCCTGTCAAGGGGACTGGAAGACCGTGTTCGGTCAGTTAGGAGTGATACTTCTATTTTCCGTCTCAATAATATTAGGTTTAGTAAGTGGCCATTAGCATCAGATCAATATTTCTTTTTTTTAATAATTATTTTAACTTTATTATTATTTTTCAATTTGAGCAGAGAGAGGGAGAGAGAGTCAGAGAGGGAAATGAGAAAGGAAGCCACCTGGTCTGGAACTTGAACCATGGTTGACCATGTGGTAGTTCTAGCGCCTTTAAGCACCACACCACCTGCTGGCTCCCAGCATCATATTGGTATTTCTAAAAAGTTTATATTTTGTATTTTTTCTATAGGGTACCTGTACTTGCTGGGGGAGAACGGGGGGGGGGGGGATTTT